TAGACATGGATTTCTGCAAGCCGACAAGAACGCACCATTGGCTCGCACTGAGCATTCTGTTGCAACTAGTTGATCATTTGAAAGGCTTCTTCAGTCGCTGCAACTTCGTCGCGGTACAGGGCTCACGCAGCACATGCTGCAAGTGCTGCAAAAGAGTGTCTAACCACAGGCGGTGACCCTGTTTTTGTCCAGCATGGCTTGACACATGTTTCAGATCAGGTGGTGCATTTATCCGCCTGGCCTTAGCTGTATGTACAGAGTCTCGCCCACCATATTTCAACATTAGTCTCCAAGGATCTGCGGCAACACGCAGATGCCTAGGCCGCATGAGCCTTCAGAGGACCTTCGTTTGCTTCCACTTGAGAGGAACCGTGCATTGCTGAGGTATATCAAGGAGAAGTATGGCCCCGAGCTGGAAAAGATCCTGGCGGACAGGTCACATAGTTTTCCGACACCCTCTACGCAGAAGGCGTCGACACTGGCAACATGATGCAAGCAGAAGCTAGGAAGCAGACCCATTCGTTTCGCGGAGTTGAAGGGATGTTCACGCAGAGAAGTAAGCGCGAGACATGCGGCATTCCTTAAAAAGAATCACTGATATAAAACCTCCCCAAGAATCGGAGATAGCTTGTTGCTACATTTGCGACCTATCGTGGTTTCGAAGCAGGAGTCATCAAGTAGGATCATTCTAACCGTGTGCAGTCGCATCACCAGCTAACATCAGACATAACGGATACAAAATAAGGGCCTCAGCAATCGAAATCGCAAGGCAGCCTCAAGACCTACAAGCTGCTTGACGTCGTGTTTCTCCTTGATGGTAGCCACGACTTCGTGCTTTCTGCGACTGATGGGTCGCTGGTTCTCAGCTAGCAGCGCGAAAGCCATACAGGCAAGCGTAAGCCAGCCGGCCCTGTGAGCCTCAAACGAGGGACAGTGCTTGTAAATCTCAAAAGACAATTTGGTGATGTGGAGGAATCCATTTGGAGACAGCTTCCCTCCCACTCCCATGTGCCACAGTACCTCCGAATCTTCCGTGGTGTGCATGAAGTGACATCAGCCGAAGCTCAGCAGGAGGGTGCGCTCATAAGCGTCTTCCAGAGTGTCGCACTAGCAGATCTGAGAAAATGACGAACGGGTGCATGGGATCTCGTGTCGTTCTCCACAGAAACCTGACACGGTTCTGCAGGCCTGTTGCTTCCGAAACCCGCTTTCAACAAAGAGCTAGTTATTGTTCTACACGTTTGCGCGTTAAGAATCCCATAGCATTGCCTTTGTGAATTCATGCTCTCTCGCAAAGCCGTCATATGCCCCTGAGCGCGTGCGCATTGCCTAAATCATAGGCAAAACGTGGAGTAGCGGTAGCTGTAGCATTAGGAGTCGCAGTAGTAGTAGTAGTAGTAGTAGTAGTAGTAGTAGTAGTAGTAGTAGTAGTAGTAGTAGTAGTAGTAGTAGTAGTAATAGTAGTAGTAGAAGTAGTAGTAGGAGTAGGAGTAGGAGTAGGAGTAGGAGTAGGAGTAGGAGTAGGAGTAGGAGTAGGAGTAGGAGTAGTAGTAGTAGTAGTAGTAGTAGTAGTAGTAGCAGTAGGAGTAGCATCGTAGTAGTTGTTGTCGTAGCAGCGGCAGCAGCAGTGGTAAAGGTAGTGAAAGTAGTAGTTGTTGTACCAGTACTTGTACTTCTACTTGCACTAGTACTAGTGCTAGTACTAGTAGTAGTAGTAGTAGTAGTAGCAGCAGTAGTAGTAGTAGTAGTAGTAGCAGTAGCATCAGCAGCAGCAGCAGCAGGAGTAGCAAAAAGGTCATTGGGGTAGTAGTGGGAGTAGTAGTAGTCGTCGTCGTAGTCGCAGTCGTAGTATGTCGTAGGTCTTAGGTAGTCGTAGCAGCAGCAGCGGCTGCGTCGCTTGCGAAACCATGACCTTCCCTGTAAGTTAAACCCAATTTAAGACTTAACGGAATTCGGAGGTGGTCCAGCGGTCTTTGGAGCTGGCCAAAGCCAGGTGTGGCTGCTGTTTCGGGGTGGGCTGGCCCGCATCTTGGCATTCTGACATTGCCCTTCCTCTCAAGCGGTCGAGGGCATCTTCAAAACCTGAGGCCTTAAACCATGAACTGCTAACACGAATCCTCAAGTCCGAACCCCTTGGCACATTTGCAAACCTGGGCTTGGTCAGGCAATTCGAAGAAGCCGAGCGCTGTTTGGCGCAGTTGGCCAGCCCGATGCTTAAGGAGAGATAAATTTGAGGGTATTACTATGATTATGACTATGATTACTATTACTACTATTTCTATTACTATTACTATTACTACTATTAATGCTATTTATACTTGGCTTCATTGGGCTTTCAAGGGTATAGGGCTCACATAGGCTCTTCGGTTTGAGGGTTGCTGGGTTTCGCCGGTTTCGGATTGGGAGTTTGGGACTTCAGGGATTTAGGCGTTAAGGTCGCCGGCACAAGAGTTTGGGGAATGCGAATGAGAATTACATGAGAATCGTGACGGTTATCATCGCGATGCCACTGGAAGCAGTGGCACAAGTACTGGTGCCTGCAATGGTGGCAGTACTCAGTAGTCGTGGTAGCAAAGTGGCAAGGGGAGCAGAAGGAGTGGTTTGTCCTTGACTTTGAGAGCGGAGCTTGCTGCGGGTGGCTTGGACCTCTGAGGTGAGCATCCAGAGCTCGCCGCGTCTCGAGAAATGATAGCGGCTCAACAGGCGTGGCATTTCAGACAGTGCAGAGGCTTGGATATTCGAGTAGGGTGTGGTGGTGTTTTGTGTTCTTGTTTTGACATAGGGACTGTCTGGGGGCATGAGTATGAATCATTCAGACTCCCGTACTGTAGTGCTCAGAATGAAACAGACATCGTTTACTGTTTGAAGCTGCAGATGTTTTGAGCTTAGTGTAGGATTTTAGCTTTAGGTTTTCGTTCAGGGCTTAGGGTTCGTTCACGGTGCAAGCCTCACTTTCCCTTCTGGGCCGTGCATGCTACAGACCCGGAAAGAGAAGTTTGAAGCCTCGACTCAGTAACACAAAGCCAAGACATGCAAGATCACGCACTTGGAAGCCCCGGCGGTTCAAACTGTGCGGCTAAACAACTTTAAGTCCTTAGACCTGGGTGCACCAGGCTGTGACCATGTGCAAGCAGCTCAATGGCGCTTAGCACATTTCTCGGTGGACGGTGAGTCAAGATCACACGCGCGACGCGAAGAGGCGGCAGTACAAATGGTGCCCCCTGTCGTTGGCTCTGCATATGATGACAGATTCTCGTGGTCGCGGCGCTAGATTGGTGCATCATCGGCTTATTGCCGGCTTGCAGTGCATTGCCACATGTGAGGAGCCTGGGGTTCCTTCCGCGGTCTGTTTTGAGTCGGAGCTTCTTGCACAGAGACCTCCTAAGCCCTCAAGAGGTCAGAACGCAGACCATGGATCGAACGGCTCTGCAAAAGCTGTGCAAGTGAACCCTGCGAAACCATGACACGAGACGAACTCAAATGCGTAACACCTCCAAACTCCCAAACAAGTCTAAACCAAAAATGGAACAAAACAAGACAAAGCCGACAAAGCAAAAAATGACAAGAATAAGCTGAGAACTGAAAACCGTGATGATTCCTTGATGAAGTGGCTGCAGCCATGCTATCGCCCCCTGCCTCACCCACTGCACGGAGACCTCGCTTCTCCGACGGCTCGCCGGCCGGGTTCCCAGGGCTGTCAACACACTGTGCTAGTTATGGCAAGCAAGGACATGCAAGCAGATGATAAGGTGAACAGCTCTGGCAGGTTATAGTTAGGTAGATAGATCGGTAGATTCGGGTTATATTTGTGAGAGAGAGAGAGGTAGTTGATTTGCAGCGTGTTCTATGTGTATGTACCGGCATGCCTGAGACCGAGGATGGCTGGGAGGACCGGGGGCGCCGGAGCAGTGGCTCTGTCGACCGAATAGATCGCTATCGCGAGTCCTCACGGGCGCGGGAATCCTCGAGGCCCGGCTTGTGAACTGAGTTATTATGGTATAGTATAGAATATAATACATACAGTATAATATAGTATAGTATATTACTGTAGTATACATATTGGGGGTAGGCTTACAACAAGGATCCTAGTATGCAGAGCCTCTGTCAGAGTCATTTTCTGCTTGTGACTGCAGGTCCCCGCTTCGCAGCTTATACACGTGCGTAGCATGCATGCATGCATGCATGTATGCACGGACATGGGTCCATGTTATATCATACATATGTATATACGCATATATAGTGCATGCAAGCATGTATGTGTGTATGTGTGTATGCACGTTTGCGTGTGTGTGTGTGTGTGTGTGTGTGTGTGTGTGTGTGTGTGTGTGTGTGTGTGTGTGTGTGTGTGTGTGTGTGTGTGTGTGTGTGTGTGTGTGTGTGTGTTTGTGTGTTGTGTGTGTGTGTGTGTGTGTGTGTTTTGTGTGTGTTGTGTGTGTGTGTGTGTGGTGTGTGTGTGTGTTGTGTGTGTGTGTGTGTGTGTGTGTGTGTGTGTGGTGTGTGTGTGTGTGTGTGGTGTTGTGTGTGTGTGTGTGTGTGTGTGTGTGTGTGTGTGTGTGTGTGTGTGTGTGTGTGTGTGTGTGTGTGTGTGTGTGTGTGTGTGTGTTTGTGTGCGCGCCTAGGTACGTGGGTACGCATGCCTGTATGTACGTAGGTACCCACGAATGCATGTAACTTGAAAGGCCCGTACAAGGTGCGTAAGTGTGTGTGTGTGTGTGTGTGTGTGTGTGCGTACACTCAGTGTACCCATGTATCTGAGCTGCGTCTCTCTCCCCCTCTCTCTCTGCCTTCTCTCCGGCTGGGACCGTTTCTGCCAGCATGGAGGCCACCGGATGACAGTCGTGCCCGAAAGCTGTCGCTTGGACCAGCGCCGCCACGGAGGACGCTTTCATCCTCAGGATGGGCGGAAGACTACTGCACACCACACCAATTCACATGAATGCTGGAGTTCTTTTCGCATTGCACCCTTGCAAGGCAGTTTCGAACTCAGTTCACCGAAAGCCATGGAGGCGATGCTGTGCTTGCAGACATCGGCATTTGAGAAGCTTGCTTCGGCTGTGCAGGCTGGCGCTGGTTTCAGCAGCATGAGCAGCCAGTGGGCAGCGACAGCCCAGCTCTTCGATTCCAGTTTGCAGAACAGCCTTTGCTTGACACCATCCTCATGTGCGAGCACGACGCGAACAGCTCCCTTCCGAACACCAACACCACCACCTCGCACTCGCGCCGGGGCCATGAAAGGCGACGGCAATAGCAGTGACTACTCAGACGACTTTGAAGCACCGGCCCCTCGCCCGCAGCCACCGCAGCCACCTGGGGCCCCAGTGCCGCCACCAGGTCCATCTCCACAAACTGTGCCTCGCCCACCTGGCCCTCCCATGCAAGTGGCTCCTGCAACCCCTTCGGTTTCACTTGCTCCTGCGCTGCCAGCAGCACCAGCACCAAGCAGCCAACATCAATCGATGCCTCCACCCCTGCCACCAGGCGCACACACGATGCCGGCCGCTCCCACACCTGCGAAGGCGCCCTTGATGCCCAACCCTCCCATGCCACCAACCACATCACCCGCACCACCTGCAATTGTGCCTCACGCACCCCTGGCACCCAGCATACCAGCTGCACCCCTCCCGCCTGCAGCACCTGCGGCGCCTGCACCGCCGACACCTCCATCGTTGCCATTCGGCACGTACGCAGGTGAAGCAACACGGGATGATGAAAGCTTACTGCGAATCCTGGGCGAGGTCAGCCCGCCACCACCACCGACTCGATCTCCAACAGCTTCCAGGAGCCCGAGTCGCCGCTCTCGGAAGAGCCCGGGTCGCAAAGGCGATTCACCTCAGGAAGCCACCAAAGTGCACGCGGCTCGGCTGAACTCGCTTTCTTTCAGTCTTTTCTTGTGTAATTTCTGACTCTTCTCCTTCCAGTGCAAGAGCTCTGCCAGCAGAAGCAAGGTGGTTGTTCAGCACCTTGCAGAACTCTGTGAGCCCATCAGCATGGCACTTTGCCTGTCGGACTTCATCCTGGAGAAGGACGCAGATGGTCTGCATTGGACGCTCATGTCGGATTCAGTCTCTTTGCAGCCTCGAAGGCTGATTCCATCTGCTTCCCAGCTAAGGTCAAAGTGGCTGGAGTTCATCTCCGACGGGGCATGCGTTTGGCCCCATGGCAACAGCCTTGAGTTGTCTTGCAGGTGCTACCTCGTCGTAGTATCTTCGGAGCAGACTTGGGAGCTTGGAAGACTGGGTGGTTACAGCTGAGCTTGTGAGATAATGCCAGATCTCCTCTGGAGTGGGCCAAAGTACTGCTTGGCATCGCGTGGGGTCTTCGTTTGTACTGGGCTGAACATGAGGCACGGGACTCAAATTGTCGGCCTTGCGGTAACAGAGCTTTGCTGAAGCTTTAGCAGGGCACAGCAATTGCAGTCGCTTCAGCAGTCTCCTGTTCACGGCATCTCTGGTCTAAAGAACGTCACTGAATTGCCCCTGGCCCACTTCCCTGTCCTCATTGCTTCCTGCGAGGTTCCATGGGAGGGGTTGGAAAGATGCCAGTCGTACGCAAGTCTTCTCCACAGCCTGGAGCAGTCAACGCAGCTGACCTTCGAGTGGCCGCAGGTGCAGTCCAGCAGAAACACATCGAGTCTGCATCAAACTGAAACAAGTCAGAAGTGCATCCTGGAGTGGCTTTCTTTGGGAGGTCACACCGCCTGCACCCGTCATGCACTCAGACTCTGAAAAGCGGCCCGGGCTACCGTCAGACCTCAGAAAGTAGAACTTCTGAGGACCTCATGTTCGTCTCCTACGAGTGGATATGTCCACAATTCCTGGAGCGAGGATTCGATGTCCCGCAAGCACTGCGGGCCTTGCCAACACTGATCCAGGCGTGGACCTTTGCCCCAACTGCCCCACACCTGCTGAAAGGTCTGCCACAGAGAGCGAATTCGGGTGGCACAGTACGTGAAGGGCTTGATGCAAGCTGCTTCATAGGTGAGCCTGAGGCTTTCTTGCAGCTCCTGCTTGATTTGGAGCTGTTTGCCCAAAGGTGCCGGAGGCTTCCAGCGCGGTCGCGCTCCTTCGCCGTGTCATACCTGGCATAGAGGACTTCATCGCTACATGGTGATGATTGAAGAACACAGAAGACGCGTCGTAACCATCTGCTAGCTAAATAGTGGCAAGTTGAACTCCTGCAGCGGTTCATGCTCGTCCCAAGCATGCCGCCTCCGCATGTACGTGTGTCTGCCGGAAAGAAAGGGAGGAAGGACCCCTGAGGAAACATCCATGATCAAAGCTGAGGACGGGCCACCTCGGAATCTCTGGCAACTATCTGGCATCGACCCCAGTTCTTCTCGCATGCCAGCTCGGAGTCGTCACTTTCGTGTGCGAGGCATGGACAGAGTTCCTCAGAAGCTGCGAGAGCACGTCCTGAAAGACTTCACCGACTGGGTTTCTACGACGGCAGATTGTGTCGGTATGTTGGGAGTGCCGGTTTGGACGTGAGTGATGTTAAAAGCGCGTGGACAGGAAGGGCATCCTATCCACGTAGGATATGCTTGCGCATGCCACAGGGTCAGAGGTATACGAGCAGAATGATCTCTAGGTAGCAACAGAGATGCCTCTCACCTGACATAATGCTGCCCATCCAGAAGAACCTTCTGTAACAGTCTGAAGTCTGGCACTTGCAGCTCATCTGAGGGTTTTCCTACCAGATCTTCTGCAGGCCAGGACCCACATCGAGCAGTGTCGGGCTTTTCGGTTAAGGGTCTGCCGTGCAGGTGAGACCTGCCGCTTGCTGGCCGCGCACTTGCACCGGCCCTTCGACCTGTCTCCTCTCCTGGACGTGGGTTCTCTGGCCAGGCCGGGTCCTGTCGGAACGTCTTTGAGACTGCCTTGCCACGATCTGTAGACTCGAGGTGTCCCGACAGTGTCGCCGGTGTGTTGTTGCGTCGAGAAGCTGGCCGCTTTATCCCTTTGCGTGAAGCAGCTGAGCATCTCGGAGTTGGTGATCTTCTGCTTCCTCCGGCTTCAGAAATTTGAGCTTGGCGTGTTGCTGACACATCTAACCACAGTGCCAAGTTGCAGCGCTAGATCACACCCTGTCGGGTTCGGAGCTTGTGGCCTTAACCATGAGCATTTCTGCAGCACAAGCTTCGCCGTCACCTCGAAGGTACTACGGGCGCGCTGCCCTGCTACTCACCAAAGCTGACAAGCTCCAACACCATGAGTGGAACCGGACTGCCACAGATCTCCAAATGGCACCTCAATCGAAAATTAGTTATCATCAAAGCACCTGAATGAGGTTGGCACTATTGCCAAGTTCCAAGGCTCCACTGGTTCTCTCCTCCAGTCTATATGTCCAGTGCCCATTGTGCAACATGCAAGTTGTGTTGACCTGAGCTTCAACGGTAACGTCCCGATTGCTTCTCGAAGCTCAGGAACGCCAGCATTTGCTCCACGAGGCTCGCGAAGCTCTGGGCATTGCCCTGCACGGCCTCCCTGGCCCCAGAGGCTGGGATGAGAAGACCCTATAAGGGGCCCCTTTTTTGGGGGGCCCTTGGCCTGGGATGAACACCCTTTGCTTGGAGGCCAGAAAAAGTCGAAGGAAGGCCCGCAGCGGCGCCCTGCGAGCTCCGATCCGCGCATCTGGTACCTTTTGGGGTCAGGCCCTCAGGAATGCGAAACCCAGCACAAGCTGCAGCAGCGGCGGCAGACATCAACAGCGGCAGCAGCAATAGCAACAGACAAAACATCATGGGCAGCATCATCGTTTTCATCACCCTCGCCAGCAAACATCATCATCCTCATCATCATCATCATCATCATCAGGACAGGCATCATTGCGAGCTAAGCTTCTACCAACATCTGTGCCTTCGCTATTTATCGTCATCGCCACCATCACCACCACTACCAGCACCACCACCAACCCTACCACCACTGTCATGACCATCGCCATCGTCTGGCGCCATGTCATGCCATGCCTTGCCATTGCAGCCATTTCCAATGGCTGGCCGTATGGTTTGTTGCTGTATCGGGTACAGGTGCTGCGACTAGTTGTAGCGTCATGCGTGACCCTCTCGTGATTGTACACCTAGCGAGCGTCGTCATAGTTATGCTTGCATCATCAATATCTTCGCCAACAGCGCAACAATACGATGTGACTATCAGCTGTTACCACTGTTACGAAGTGAGCTCGAAAAGCCTGAACCTCTAAGTCCGGTTGGCACTGCGAGTTCATTCTGACCGGCTTCCGCTTCTGGATTTGTGGAAAGGTCTCCAGTTGCAACTCGATGTTCTGCAGGTTTTTCACTGGAGCTTATCAGCTGCTTGAAGTATTCTCTCGTTTTCCCCAGTATACATCTGGCGTTCTTTCTTCCAACAGCCACAGCCAACTTGGCCTTCAACCTAATCGCATGGCGAAAAAGGGCGTCAAACAAGCGAATTGAGCCCAAAGCACCAAAGCCACATAAACCTGGGTCTCGAAGCTTGAAGCCCTCAAGCTACCTCTCCGCTCCGCTCCCTGTTAAGGCTGGTGATGTGCAGCCTTGGATCGGAATCAGAAGGGCGACAGGCAAGCAAGTACTGACAGATGTCACTATGTGATCATTACAGTATATCCTTATGACTGTGCTGATGATGCTATGTTGGTGTTGATGATTCTGATGGTGATGATGATGATGATGATGGTGGCGGGTACTACTAGTGCCGTGATAGTTATCACTGCAATAAACACTACGACATTCTCGTGAACGCCTGGTACTGGCAACATCATAAAGTATACTGTGCCTACGTAGACTGAGTTGGTGCTCGGCTATCGTACCTAGAGCATTCCATGGCCGCATGTCGCTTCCTGCCAGTGCTTGCTGGAATTCAAACCACGGCACATGCCCAATCCGGCCTAAACCGAAAACATAAAGGCCGAGGGAAACGCAAGGCCGTCATCGGTCATTGTTCGCATTGTTCGCAATGGGTTGCCACTGCGAGCTTGTATAAGTGCCGTGCGTTTCCCTGTCCTTGCCGTCACTCAGGCATACCGTCAGGCCCTTTCGCTCTTGCCCAAGGGCTTGTTTGCCCATGCGGTTTACTTCAATTCCGTGCTATCCTCGGCTGAAGCAAGATGTCGTCAAGTGCCGACTATTGCTAGGAGACACGGATCCAAGAATGGCTTGAGGCCTTTCACGGATCACCCCACCAAGGCCTTGATCTACTCCCGGGACGCAATGGCAGGGAACTCGGCTGCTGAGGCAGCCGCAAAGCGTGCACTGCACGAGTTCCGACGCTGTTGCCGCTGCATGCTGAGGAGCTGTGTGGGAGGGTCTGTCCGTGTCATGTCGCAACGATGGGTTTGGCGCGAAGCAAATGCTAGTGCCGCCTTACACGAAAACGCCCGTAGCTTGTCCTGCCTGGCCGAGAGAAGAGCCGTTTGCTTATTTCGCATGTTGGTGTTATTGGCTTGGTTGTATGCATAGCTGATGCCCGGTTTACGGCGCCATGCCTTCACATGTTAGCCCGAAGATTCTGGCTGTGCTGCAGGAGGGGGTGAAGGCACTTGGTCTCACCTAGCATTCTGAATTCGTTTCACAGAACTGTATGGTCAGTGCTGAAACGGCTTCTGATTCGGTTCTCTGCGGCGCTTGACCCCATCATTTGCCATCCTGCTTCACGAAGAGGCCAAGCACGGGGTTCGCATCGACAAAATAAAGTTTCCGGCATATGTTTGACCCCTGGGACCAGCGATTCGGAAATGGCACGCTAGTGGCGTGTTCTTGCAACTCCTCAATGATGCCGATTTCAGCAAAAGGAGCGCTGGTCAAGTCTTCCTGCATGGTTTTGGTGAGCTTGGAGGGGGGGCACGACGAAGAAAATAAACAATTCGGAGATGGAGAATATCCGTGGAATAAACTCATTAATCAATTTGCTTCAAGGTCATATAATTCTCTAATTCACTGTGCGGGGTTCTTACTTTTGGATCTCTGCCGCTCCTCTTCCTCCTCCTGCCTCCTCCTCCACAGGCGCACCGTCATTCACCGTCGCATTTCATATTTCAACCACTCGCATACTCATTTACTCGCTCACACACTTACTCAATCATACACGCACACACATACGTACTTCAATCACACGCACGTACTATTATCCGGGCCGCCTCTCTAGAATGAATGTTCTCTTGGATATTTTCCGGAAGATTCTAAATATCACTAAACGCGCTCTCTAGAATCCTTCTGTTGGATGCTCCGCGCGCGTTTGGGATTCTCGGGCCGCTACTTTCTGGAAGATTATAAATACTACTAAACGCCCTCGCCAGAACCTTCTATTGGATATCGCGCTCGCGTGGGGCTGCCGGGCCGCTATCTTTTGGAAGATATCGTTGTAATTTATTCGTAAGCTAGATGTATTCTAGTAAGAATTTATATGAGAAGTAATAATATATTAGTTTTCTATTTCTTTCTTTCTCTCTCTATTTCTTCTCGGGTAGGGATACTTAGATGATAGATTATATATTCTTAATATGGTATATCTCGAAATCTTGCGATAATAAGTTATATTATTTTATATCATCATAAAATAGTAAAATATATTTGCCGTATTCTATGATTAATTAGATGGCGAATATTAATTCATATAGAAGCAGCGGACTATCTCTAGAATGGAATTATGTAGAAATTGTATTTCATATATTTTTTTAGTTTCACTATAGGAAAGAATAAGAATAAAATTATAAATAGTTGAGATTATATAATTCTTTATCAGATAAATTAATAAGAAGCATTTATTTGAATGATATTATAGAGATCTTTGGATATCGATATATGATAGGAGCAAGGTAGAATACGATATAAAATCTTTTTGAAATAAATTTTTCGATATAATATTTCGACGAATTATATATATATATATATATATCTTATTCGATCAAAAAAAAATATATATTTCTTCCTAGTGACCGGAGCGTTTGCGCAGCTGAGCGTAGTGCACGCGCTTTTCTCAACCCTCTTTCGGCGTAGTGTTGTGGCTCGAGCCTCCCAGCTCGAGCGCTTTTGAGCGCAGCGTGCGCTGGATG